TCGATACCTGTTTCCTTTAGGATCTGCATTAATTTGGTCCAGTTTACACGGTCAAATGCCTTCTGCCAGTCTATGAAGCAAACACACAGTTCTTCATCTATCTCCAAAGTTCGTTCTGCTATAATTCTCATCATCCCAATTGCATCCCTGGTTCCTTTTCCTCTTCTAAATCCAAACTGATCTTCTCCAAGTATATCCTCTATTTTCTTTTCAATTCTTCTTTTAAGTATCTTTGCTATTATCTTTGCTGTATGTGCAATAAGGCTTATTGTGCGATGGTCGCTGCATTTTGTTGTTTTTGTCTTTTTCTTTAAGGCAATCATTGTCACTTCTGTAAAGTCCTTGGGCCATTCCCCAGTTTCATATATGGTGTTCTTTAGTTTTGTCAGTGTTTTACCATGTTACATTCCCACTTAAATTCTGTGATGCGTCAGCATGCTGGTAGTACATATGCAATCATAGTCATGGGTTTTCTGAGAGGGTCAACAGTTCATTTTGCACAAAACCAGCATAAATATCACGCACAAGATGCTGCAGGAAAATGTATGGTTCAAGCAGCTGGTCACCAGTCAAAAACACACCATATGTTGACAGAAAAATCAAACCTGGAAATTACTTCTAGTGTTCTGTTTGGATTGTCATGACCCCATAAGTTGGACTCCATCATGAGTAAAACCTGCCTCATTGGTGAAAAAAGCACAGCAATGCAAATAACTCATACATGCTAATTTTCAAATAGCTCCAAAACTGTTGAGAACAGGACCCAAGTTGTTATAACATTTTTCAGTTAGGATGACCTCAAGAATGACCTCTTGAATTTCTACCATAAAGTCGTGATACACTTTGTATAATAAAATAAAATCTTATAGCATTTCAAAATGGCTCATTGGGCAAAAATATGGTATTGAAATATTTAGTTCTTGTTTGTAACACATTTAATCCTACATATAACAGTTCATTTAGACTTTCAACTAAATGGAGTACCAATATTTCTGTCTGTTACAGGCCTAATTTGGAATTCATAAGTACAATTTTTTGGGGGTTATTGTATCAAATCTCATAAAACCGACAAAACAATTTTGGGATGAAATATGTATAAAACAAATTTCAGATGAGCATAATAGGAGGAGAGAGAAATAACAGACACAATGAGCCCATAAGGAATTTATGCAGACATATTAGCTTGCAAGTCAGACCTACTACTATGCAGTGTTATCAGGATATCAGCTGTGTCAATGTGAATTTTGTGTCCAACATTTCAGTGGCTGCCTCTGTCTGCAACATCAGAGGTGATATGATGAGGAAGACAGACAGTTCTGAAATACTGGATACCAGCTCAACACTGACATGGTTGAGCACCCAAGAAGATCTCACCGTATACTGTCACCATAAAAGTTTCAAATCATATATACTCGTGTAGACCTGATACTACTTTGAGCGAAAAATAAGACAAAACTGTTTACACTGCAGAGCCATCTTCCATGTTCTAATCAAAGTACTGCATAGCATAGTCATAACCAACTGCAAAATTATTTTTCTTGCAAAGTAAAATCTCTGTTGCACTCATAAGGGGAGGGCACTAATTATCCATACAAACTGGAGGCACACCTAGTTCATATTATTGCTCTATTTAACTAGTCAGAAAATTTAGAAATTATGTAATAAATTTGTTAATTTTGTGCATGTACATATTGAGTTACAGATAAAAGGAAAAGAAGCATGTTTATACAATGATTTACTTAGGTCAAGTTTTTAAAATAGAACTACAGTCTCCTCAGATCACTTCTATTGCTGAAACTTAATATACTGACTGCTGATAGTGGAATGCATGACGCAGTAACACATTCATAATTAATCTTTTAAGTGCCTTCTCCTCTGAAACCTTGATGCTGTGATTTAAACAATTTATATATGTATAATTCAAAGAAACAAATAAGGTGTTGAAGACTGTATTCCCATCTGAATTTTTATTTTCTGATCAGTCTTTTGCTCATAGTCTTCTGAGTTTTCACATTAAATATTCTTTCACATTGATTCACTACAGTCCCTTAGATGGAGAGACAATTGGGAAGTGGAGAAGCTAAGAGACTGGGTACCTCCAGAGGTAATGCAGAAGTACTACCCCAGTGGGATATCAGGATATGATAAAGAAGGAGCTCCAGGTACGAAAGCCATCCAGTTCTCCACCTTGCTTTAATTATCCACAATCTTGAAAAATATGTTGTATAACTTAAGATGTCAATATTATGACCACAAGTTTCACTTTTTTAAACAGTCAGACTCTTAGATTCTAAAGGGTTCTGATGGTGTATAATACTCAGAATTACTGGGTAAGACTCTAATGCAAACACCATACACACTACCGTGTTAAACCATTTCATTAAAAGTTTTCTTTTACTATTTCAAAGCTTGAATTTTGAAATAAAATTTAATAAATTCAATAGAGGGCTATCAAATAACTTATGAGTGGAATGGAGAATTTCCATTTTTGTATATTCTAAGAAATCCACTTTCCTGTAACTAATGATAGCCATATTTATGAAGGGAGTTTGTTTATTAGTACTATGATTTTATCATGAGGTAAGTCACTAGTCTGTTAAAATATTTCCCTCTACTTCCCATCACATTCTATTCTACATACATATTCCATGCATCTCAAATTGACTGCAGAAAAACATAAATTTTCTTTATTAAAACCGAAATTAACGGCTGTGGGGATTTGTTGCGCTGACCACGACACCCTCTATCCGCCAAAGTTGGCACTAACTTCGCCAACAAGTGGCGGTTGCTCGGTCAATACAGTTTGCTTGCAGACTAAAGACACGGAGTTTGTTCTTTTATATCTTTTAAATCAATTATGGAAGTGATATACAGTGTGATAGGTTAAAAAATACATATGCTTTTACAAAGGAAAATGTTTGAATTGGCTATGACATAATAAGCATTCCTATACAAGAGACACATCGCTGAAACATAGCCATAGAGGTATCCAGGGTTGTGAAGATCTTAATGGTTCTAAAGACTGAATATTTATCAGCCTTAACTTTATAACCAAACTCAATTAACCCTTTCACAGATCGGTTATTCATAGAGTGCGGAAACCCTGTCTGGCTGGGTATTTTCACAAGATTAAGAAAAAATCATGGAAAGTCTCTGAATGGATATTTAATGCTTTCTCACTCCAAACATTGAATGAAACTCCTCAGTACTTTTGTCATTTATGTTATATGCTTGCTCCAAAGTTGAATCGACAGTCATGTTTACAGTTACCAAGACGTCATTCATACCATCACAATTGTTACACATGCCTCTAATCTTTGAACATCTATTACAGTACTTCCTCAGAAGTAGTTCTTGTGGACAGTTAACTGTCATCTGGAGATCTACTCTTTGTTGATTTGATAACTAGGTGGTGCAAGAAAATGTATAGCTGCATGACAAATAGCTGCACCAGGAGCAAATAGCAAAATTTAAATATTTGTGTCATATTCTCAAAAGGATTGAAATTGTCCAAAATTAAAAAATCATACCTTGTGTATTAACATGCAGAGGATGAGAGAAACATAGCAGTCAATTTATCTGCTTGTTAGGGAAGACACTGATGTGTTTCAGTTTTTACAGCATCTCCAGAAGATTATGGCATGTCAGAATTGTTTGACTTAACATTGCAATATATTTCAAGATTATACTTCCAACGACACAAATGCAATTTACAACTGAGTTCTTACAACATTTCAGCTTCTTTCATGTTATGGTAATACAACAGATCATTGTAGTTACATGAAACAATGCCAATAGCTCTGTTTACCATTATTTTTTATATTTAATTGGAGAAGAATTGATTATTCATATGTGAAAATACATATTGTCGCGTATTGGGCGTATAACGCGACAAATAACTTCATGCCGTATTTGATATAGCGAATTTTATTTCACATTCGCACTTACAATCACACAATTGACAGTTTTAGAACTACTGCTATCTGCAGTATCACAAATACTACACTCCAAATGCCACAATACAACTGACTGGTTGCTGGCTAACTCGGAACTAACTCGGAGGTAGCTTGAGGACTAACTGTGAATAGCCTTCGCTGCTCCTCATGTAGCCTTGATCGGACAATACAGAAAACGGCCACGTAATAAGCACCCTTGTTGCCTGGTGCTGTGTTGCTAGCAACGCTAGCGGTAGTAACCGCTGTTACTACCGTCGTCTCTCGCAATCCTGTTTACCCGCGCTGCCTAGCAACCCGCGGTACCCTTGGTGACGTCATCGCTGTTGACTCGCGTTGCATAGCGACCAGGATGCTAGGACTCGGCTAACTTCGGCTCACTTCGGCTTCGCTCGGCGCATCACGTCTGGCGGGGGGGGCGTCATCCATAGCTCAACATGTCACAATATGTATATCTTAAGTAAGAATAGTGGCACGTGGTAGCGTAATTGGTTGAGGCAATATGCTACAAGCAGGAAAGTCACGGTATCAAATCCCATTAAAGTGGATTTTCCTTCAATTGACCTGATCCTTCCAACCGCAATATGGCCCTGGGGTCGACTCAGCCTCTAACAGAAATGAGTACCAGGAATATTCTTGGAATATTCTTGGAGGTAAAGGGCAGCTGGTGCGTAGGGCTGACAACCTTGCAGCAATCTATGAGCCAATTGTGTAGAAAATGTGGGAACCTCAACATCTCATAACCCTATGGGCCTCCATGGTCTGTTACAGGGATACTTTTACTTTATCTTAAGTAAGAATACCAACTATGGCTTCCTTCAAGGGTGATAATTAATGTCAAACTGCAAGCATGAGCATATTGGCAAAAGCACACACACAGAAGGAAATGGTCAAACTTTTCATCACTCATACATTTTTTATTGTAGGAGAATGCTAAGTTAAGTATCCATCAAGCAGTACTACCTTAATGTGGTGGGGAGGTTTGTGTACCCTGATCGCCTGGAGAGCTATGCTAGCAGGGACATAAGCTCCTAGTAAGGTCACCCATGCTAGACAGGTCAAAGGGTAGGGGCCAGAGTATTCTGTGCTCTTCAGACTGGGGTTAGAAGTCAGGCTAACAACTTAATTTCATATAACAAATTTGTTAAGAAACCTAATGATAGATACCCGATGGAAAATTTGGGGAAACGAATATGGAAAGGTTATAAGGAGTGTGAGTTATATCTTGTTGCTCAGAATGTCATGAGTTTATTCAGATCAGAAGCATTAAGCCAATTAAAATTTGAATTAGAGAAATACAGCATTGCCAACGCAAAAATTCAAAAAGTGGAAACGCCCAGACAGAGATGGCCGGAAGATATAGAGCATGATTTATGAGAGATAAAAGGGACGATATGGAGGCAGAAGGAAAATAACAGAGAAGAATGGGCATTTGGTTTAAAGAAGGCCAAGGTTCTTAGAGGAACATAGAGCCAATGAGTGAGAGTAAAAATGGAACATGTCTGTTTTAACAGCAACATTTTTATAGCAAACATCATTCTCTGGCATCCTCTTATAATTTCATTTCATCCTGCATACAAAATTATAACACTCGTGTAATAATCCTTGTTAAAAGAATCCTTAACAAAAATAAATTAATATCACCTTTTCATGAAGGAATAATAAATACATTTCTCAACCAATCACCAGAACTGCATTCAGGTTTTCATTTCAGAAGGAATGTTTTAGAAAATCTCTCAATAAAACATGTTGTTATGAAGTTTAGAAAACAGGAAAGTCGCTGATATACTTTTCTGCACTTTCAACACCAAATCCTTCTCTTCTTACTGAATCTGAACTTATTTTTCATATATAAACAGTTGTTCAATTAGTATTACATTACATATTAGCCCATGCATTTAAAGAGGTGTAAACCCATGAAACTTCACTGCTGTCAGCAAGAGAGAAACTGGTCATCTGTATTTCAGTAAGGCCTCAGACAGAACACTAATGAAAATATTACTTCTTTCTGCAGTAATAATTGTTCCTTTTGCTGGCCTGGATATGTGGGGAATGATGCACTGTATTAACAAAAGTGATTTCATTAAAATGACAATCAAAACTCTGGAAATGTATATGAGTATAGCAAGAGAGCAAGCAGAGAAATTTGGCAACGAAGCATCTAAGCTTATTTGTGTCATGGATATGGAAAATTTCAATATACGTCAGTATGCTTGGAGACCAGGTAAATATCACAGATTTCTAATAACCACAAGTACAATACACATCAGGATAGTGTTACCTTTATGACAAGAGTACACATAAATTCCACAGAGATGAATCAAAAGACATCAAGACACTGCAACTACAAAAAGCACACCTATACCTGCTTTCTGTTTGAGGCAAAGTAAAAGTGTTTAAAGGCCTGGTAGTTTTCTTTCACTTTCGCACAATTGCTGTTCATGCTGAAAAATTTAAAAGAATCAGTTTTGACATCTTTGGATGAATTTTGCTTCAGGTTCATAGACTTCAACCATAAGACAAAATATTAGCATATATGGCCTTTATCTGTTGGTGTGGATAGTGAAACATTTCTGCTGTTTTAAATGCAGTTGAGTGGTAAGAAAATAAAGCACGTAAAACTAAATTAAAATCAGATTCTTAGAAGTCTGGACGACTGTGTGAACCCACATGCACATATATATATATTATACACACACACACACACACAGATACATAAATGCCATAAGCCCACATCCTCACATGGATAGAGGTAACCCTTCTAGACGTATACTCTATATATTTTGTGCATTTAGCTGATAATAGGAACTTCATCACTAATGTTTATTTGCATAATGCAGCTGGAGAAGTTGTTGTAGCACTGGTCCAAATGTATGAAGCCAATTACCCAGAGATCCTCAAAGCCTGTTACATAATTAATGGTAAGTTATGGATACAGATAATGAGTCTGCTAATTTACATCAACATCAGAATTATTCTGCAGTAAAACAACTGCAATCAGCATATTTTATTTTTAGAAATTAGTCCCATATTTGCTTCAATTAAGTACTTCAGTCTTACTATTTTCAGCTCCGAAAGTATTTGCCATTGCTTTTGCCGTGGTAAAGAATTTCATGAATGAACACACACTGAGAAAAATCCAAATCATTAAGAGTGATCCTCAAAAGTGGCAGCCCATTCTGCTGGCATCTATTGAGCCTGACCAACTGCCAGCTCATTTTGGTGGAACCTTAACTGATCCAGATGGGAATCCCAGATATGCAACTAAAGTATGTTCAGTTTATGCCATATGTTCCAATTATTTGGTCAAGAGAGAATTATTTTACTGTCAACACCATCATTTGATTCTGATCCAGGTTGCTCAGGGAGGAAAGATTCCAAAGTCTTACTATACCAAAAAGACTGACAGCACAAGTCCACCACTAAATGACACCTTCACAACTGTTGTAATTAAGAAAGGTGAAAAACTGAATCTACCATTCATAGCTCCAACAGAAAATTCCATATTAAAGTAAGTGACAAAGCAGCACTATATTATGATGATCATTTTTTAAACTTCTTAATGTGAATCCACATTAAAAAGAGATCAAATCTTTATTAGTTCTCACTTGACAAGCAAATATATGCTAAAGTAAGTACCATGGAAACATACTTTCATAATAATTTTTAAAATTTTTAATTCAAATGCACATTAAACAGGGATTATTTATTAGTTCCCATTTACAAAGCAAATTTTTTAAAGAATGTTCTAATATGAAAAGTACTTATTTTCAAATTGCTTTACAGTATGTAGGCATCCTTCATCAGGAATTAGTTTCTAGCATATGTTATTGAGAACAATGTCCCATTAATGTCATTCGTTGAATTAACTCTAAACATAATGGAGTTTTAGATATAATTTCCATGCATTTATACTATGTAACATGCTATTTTCAATCATATATGTCAAAATGAATCAACTTGGAGTTCCTGAAGAAATTATCATCCCCAATCTGAAAGCTACCGCTCTCTCTTCACCATTTGCTCATGTACCAAAGTTTACAGAACAGAAACCGAGAATCACTTAATAACACACACATTGTTATAAGCAGTAAAGAAAAATATATTTTTTAATCAAACAGCACTTAAATCAGTCAGAACAGAAATGTACATAAGACAAGTTAATAAAAACACTTGTTCAATTTATTTCAAGATGGGAGTTCCAATCTGAAGGGCAAGATATCAAATTTGGTATAACTTGCCAAGATATCGATGGAACAGAGTCTACAGTAGTGCCAGTCCACAAGGTTAATAGCCACCATTCAAACGAAATTGGAGTAATAACATGTCCAACACCAGCTACCTGTAAGTACAGTCACTCTCAGACAGGGGATGAATGACGGTCATTAGCAGAATTGTTACATTTAATTCCATACTGCTTTATTGTTATTAATTATCTGTTTACAGAAGAACCATCACAGTGCAAAACTGATCACAATAATTACTTTTATTTTAAGCAAGCCTTACATGGTTTGATCTTCAGGCCGCCATCTCATACACTTGAGCTGTCAAAGGTTTATGTATTATTATCTATATTATAACAATTTTCTCATTGTGTTTTAGCCATACAATTGCTATCACAATTATCTTGGTAAAAATAAACTGTTAAAATACATTCAGAATTAGAAGTTACTCACGTCCTTTGGCTGAGTCAAACTGCATAAGGTTTGTTCAAAATATAAGTTATTGTTATAGACAATATTACATTGTATTTGATGGTTTCTTTATATTGATAATAATTTATAGCACGTTGTTATCTCCTCTCTTGCTGTGGTTCACAAGCAGCACTTCCTCTGCGGAAATAGCCCATAGTAATCGTGCATTTGCATAAAAAGAACATCATTAATGCCTGCACAATGTTCCTCTATACTGAACTACATGATCATTAATCCATTCTTGACATTTTGTCTTTCTTGCAGAACTTCAAAACAATGCATATCATGAATGCTGGTACTATTTCTTTACCTGTGCTAATATCCCATGTGGATCTGTACATCCACTCCCCCCTTTGCCATTATGGCAGTGCTTAATTAGTTAAGCACAGGGGCAACTTACCTTTAGTGCATGAGTAAGTGGCTAGGAGTGTGACCATCAAGACTGAACTTACATTACATTAAAGAACACAGTGAGTTAGTATTGCAGCTCACTGCAGAACAGTTCCACCCATATCACACATGCTCTTCTGATCAGTAGAACTTTTCCATATATACCAGAGTAATCATCAGTAACTTTTGACAAACCATTTCTCATATTCTGTATACATCATATCTTACTTGTCCACATTATGATTTTGTCTTGAAAGAAATTATATGCCTTATCCTTCCCCTTGGGTCCTATGATCCAGATTTCTTCAGTCTTCCCTGAAGCATGTCCTTAAATGTATGCATGTCCTTTTGTGCATGGAAACTACTGCTGTAACTCCTTTACCACTGAATACCGAAGCATAAAAATACTGATATGTTGGGATTTTGGACTTTATCCATCGTCCTGGTTTTTAAGATAACAAATAAAAACACGACGTTTCGGAAACTGGATCTGTTTNTATAGTAACTACATAAAACTACTCTTTGTGCAATGAAAACTGGAGTCAACCAGCATATATCTTGTTCCAGATACTGTGATATTTGATAATACCAACAGTTACATTCGCAGCAAGAAGATACACTACTCTATTGCAATGGTTTCCCCTTTGACAGCTAAGGATGATGATACTGAGGATGATAAAATAACAATACAAGAAGGTTGAGAAAGAAATTCATTAGTAAGGTACCCGTGTACAGTGTTTTATACTGGAATTCACAACTTCATTCCGTGGCCAAATGATTTTTATACATATATCAATAACTACAGTGAAGAACTCTATCTTCTGGGATATAAGGTTATCACATAGTCTGCTGAATGGATTACAAAGCGTTATATCCCAGAAAACAGAACTCTTCACAACCCAAAGAGAACCCAAAATTCTAAATAACTACAATGTTCGGGAAACTGGAAGAAGGGTGAGAATGAAATGAAAGACATACTACTGCACAAAATGGCCAATTACTTGTATATACATATTATAGAAATATATTGCAAAAACATTCGTGAGAGAGCAGTACTGAATAATTATGTATTATCAGCTGGCTAGAATTAAGTGGCTTATATTTATAGCAAATTAAATGAACTGAACTAAAATCAGGGCATAATAATTAAGAAACAAAAAGATAATATTAAATGAATATACAAATCATAATGCAGTAGGTGTGATATTTGTTAAAACTCTTTGAATAAATTATGTACAAATAAATATTCTCAGGCCTTAAACTTGTATGTCAGCTGGTGACATGATATGTATATAGGTGTTACTATTTTCATAAATGTATTTATCTACATAAGAACAATGCTGGGAAATATATTTTCAATGCTTTCAGAAAATATGTGAAAATGCAAATTAAATGCTTCACAACTCTTTTTCAAATGAAGACACTTTATTTATACTGTAGGTTTCTATGTACATTAATTCATGTTTTTGTTTTCCTTCTTCAGAATTAATGGACCTTACATGCTTATTCATTCATTAAGTTACTGACAGATAAATTCGTATTGGCCTCAGACTTAAACATCTGAACTACCCAAACACCGTTCTTTCTAAACGTGAGTCTGTACCTGTGCAATGACATTGTTTTGCCACTGGTAACCACCTACAAGGCACCAAGGTGTTGCAAACGTAGAAAACCATAGTTTCAACTCTTACTACCATCAAAATCTCATACCTCATATTCTTTGAGCTTTTTTGGACATGGTGATGCTGGGATCGTACCGCAAACTCCTGTGATGACTTTAGAAGGAAACTGCACATCTCTCTCTCTCAATCAATTCTGCTTCTACTCATCAGTCAGATGACCAAACACCATGCAGTCTCTTGGAAGTCAACCAACATTTTGGAAGAACATGCTGCCTCCATCTTCAGAGTTTAAGAGTAAGCCAAGCAAGAAACTAGTATGAATCAGGCAGCATCTTCAACCTGATGATGGAGGCAACACGTTCTTCCAAGACATTGGTCGACTTTCAACAGAATACATGGCGATATATGCCAGAAGACAGGACATTTCATAACCACTGCTGTGAAATCCTCAAATCCTACTTGGTAACAATCTGTTGTATGTTACAATTTTGTCATAATGCCTTCATTTAACATGATCAAAATGAGATTTCCATCTCATTAGTCAATGTAAGTAATTCTACTTCTGCACTTCAAAAAGAACTAAAAGTGCTGAATGAATGACACAAACTAGGTTTCCAAATTACTGGCAGATGATTTTACCATTCCTGGCAGAGAAACTCTACTATTATGGTAACATCAACTTGCAGTCAGTCTGAAAAATCACACATACCCTAGGATTCGGGCTGTGTCCAACACAACTGTGATATAATGTATCAAATGAGTGGCACAACATTTCATAAAAAAAAAACCTCATATTCTGCTACATGTTCAGACAGTTAATCCGGCATTACGCACCAGTCTTATCCCACAGATCTGTTTTTAAAAACCCATGATGACGCTACACAGCTCTACATCATGGAGCTGGTATGTAGCCACACTGTGTCACCAGTGACAACCTGATGGACACTATATACAGGGTGTCCCAGGAGGAATGGACCAAACTTCGGGAGGGTGTTCCTTATGTTAAAGTATGCCGATATAACCCAAAACACCTATGTCCAAAGTTGAACGGTTACGGAGATAATGGCCAGAGAAGTGTCAAACTTTGACTGGCGTTGCACACTTGTTGATTACAAAATACATATTAAAACTGGCAGGAATATGTGGATTCTGTAATGTTAATAATGTACGTAACATCAAACTAACTTGTGAGTGACATGAAGCCATAAAATTGAAGTACAAAATACTCGCTCGCCATGTCATAATTGTCCTTAGGGTTTCCAAGCANAGATATTTATTGTGCTTCACTTCTGCACTCACACACTTTACGATTATTATCACTTTCAGTATCACAATTATTGCTTCCACTATATCTCGGCGAATACTAGACTGCTTTCGGCGGCGGCTTTCTTAAGACTGACTCATTACAGCGGAAGTGCATTATTCCTGCTGGTTCAACAATCCGTTGTTACGCAACGAACCTTCCATCTTTGGGGAAACGCATTTGTTGATTCTGCAATTCCTATACAACGGCCCACTGTTATTGCATTACCATGGAAATATCTACTCCAAACATGTTACAATATATATATACAGGGTGTCCCAGGAGGAATGGACCAAACTTCGGGAGCGTGTTCCTTATGTTAAAGTATGCCGATATAACCCAAAACACCTATTTCCAAAGTTGACAGTTTCAAGAAATAATGGCCGGCG